TGTATTGCAGTCCTATTGTGAGCTTGCTCTCAAGTGGGTAATTGTGTAATCAGTTTATTTCTGCAGATCATGGCATCAGTGCAGCTGACTAAGTTTAATGTAAAAGATACTCCTCACGAACTATTTGTGACCCTGGTACAAGCTCCTATCTCAGATGTGACCTTGAAATAATAATTAACATCCTGGCTTTCAATCTTCGGGTGTGTAATAATAATAGCTGCAGAAAGGATCACCTTACTAATCTTTTTATTTGCTAGGAGATTTAATTAACACCCTCCTGTAAGCAAGAAACAGACTTCACATAGACAATGGAAATCTATTTATGATTTGGGAGCTGTAAAGATAAATATGTGGTATCCCCAAAATTAAGGTTGTGTCCTCCCCACTTCAAACTTATATCACAAAACACAATCGTACACTAGAAGGAACAAACAGCAGTTCAATGAACTTAGGTGTTGTTATGTTATTGACTCACAAAGGAACCCCTCTTCTCTCTATGGAAGTTGGTTAAAGTCAAAGTGTACTTAAACCCCAGATTTTCAATGGTTGTTTAGTTCTTGACTCCACACCAAAGGTTCAATTCCTCTCAGGAATGTACGTGAGGTCCATGCATGTGGTTTGAACCCTCTGTGGGTTCAGAAATGCACCTTGTAACACAGCTTAAGTCAGTTGTATAACAGGATGACAAACCAGTTGTTCTCCAGATGTTCTTGAACTACAACTCCCATCATCCCTGACCATTGGCTGTGCTGGCTGGGGCTCATAGGAATTGGAGTCTGGCAACATTTGGAGGGCCACATGTTTCTCATCCCTGCTTCTTCTTTATCTGAAAAAAGATAAAACCCTCATTAAGTGACAGAAAAAAAGTATTTGAAATAAATACATCTTAAATACTGCATCAACTGGTGTGAATTGCAATTGACTGGGAATATGTATTTCAAAGTACGTTGCTTGTACTGAAAACTTTTTGGAACAGAACCTTTATTGGGAAACATTTGAAGCATTAGGAAACATGCTCTAGAAAAGCATTCCCTCCACACAAATTCTGATGGGAATTTGTAGTCCGAAAGAGCAGTTGTAATGAGCATAACTTAAAGTAGTTATCAGGGGAATGTGACTTTCTCAAGAAAGGAATCTTTATCTTTTTGACCACCATAGACTAGCACATGGCTTATTCATGCTACTCAAATCTTGATCTATTGTACCAGACTGAAAGTCTTTCTTATGGCAGCTGACACTAAATAGATTGCTGGATTTCACTCACCTTTTAAACATTTTTGATAGAATATAAAGATGCTGAGCTCCCAGCACAGTGAGGAAGAACCTCTCGGTTGTGTGAAGACAAATTCTCTAATAAGGCCCTGGCGATGAACTTATATTGATGCTTAATTTGAAGAATTGAAATCTTGTGTTTGGAAGATGGGGTGGGAGTCAGATTTGTATTTTAGATAAATGTTTTTGAATTAGCATTGACTTTTTTGTTATCTTCCATTGTATCATTATGCATTATGGATGAGATCTTTTCTTCATTACCTTAGTAACTTTTTAAAAGGCTGCCTGTCCCACTTTTATTTTTTGTTGCAAAAAACGTAAGGATGCTTTTAAGGAACTAAACATGAAGGTATAACTATCCAAAGCTTTTATCATTTAATAACATGTATATGAGAGAGACAGATGCACAAAGAAATTTCACTTTGCCTTTAATGGCTGCATTTGGGCATAAGAATAAACTATTAACATATTATGAATTACTCTGGCATGTTCCCCACCCATCCACAGTGGTTAACCTCTGGTGTGGGGAAGAGATAGCAGCTTTCAGCATCTATGTTTATCTAACCACAATTTAGCATTAGTCTTCATTATAGTTACCGAAATAAGCTAGCTTCAAACCTCAGTTTATGAACTTGTTCAAGTATCGTAGTTAAGGCTAAGCACAATTTATGGTTCGGAGATAATGCTAAACTGTAGTTAATTGAAAATGGACATAAAAGTATTTGATCTCCTTCCTCGTGGGGAGTGGATGGGGAGGGCACAAGCTTGATAAACCATTGTCTTAGCATCATGACTAAATAAAGCCAATAGGTTTTTACTTTGCTAAAATAATTACCTGCAACAAGCCCTCATTCTTGACCATCTGCACAGCACTTTCTCCTTGTCTGGTAGGCACTTCCTGGAACTACTTAAAAAGTCAGCTGCTGTATATTAAGGGGAGGCAGAAATTTGAATTTTAGGATTCACCTTTTTAAAATAAAAAATAAAAAATGAGAGATTCACACCTGGTTGCAACCATAGCTGTCAACTTTTCCCTTTTCTTGCGAGGAATCCTATTCGGAATAAGGGAATTTCCCTTTTAAAAAGGGAAACATTGACAGCTATGGTTGCAACCAGGTGTGAAAGACATATATGGTGGTATTCAACTAAGTTTTACTAGGAGTTTTACTCATGAAATTAATGAGCATAACTAAGTTAGACCCATTAATTTCAGAGCTATGAACCCACAGGCACTATATATTTATAACAGTATCATACCACTTTAAACAGTTATGGCATCCCCCAAAGAATCTTGGGAACTGTAGTTTAAGTGAGCTGAGAGTTAGGAGACTCCTATTCCCATCAGAGTCCCCTAATCCCTAGAGTGATTTCACAGTCAATCCTTCTTTCCCAGGCACTCTGGGAATTGTAGCCCTGTTAAGGGGTCTCTTAACAACTCTCAGCACCCTTATTAACAATTCCCAAGATTATTGGGGTGGGGAGAGCCATGGCTGGCTATGGTATTGATCTGAGCCATGGCTGGCTATGGTATTGAGCCTGAAGGGCCCTGCTCTGCCTCTATCCACCTGGCTTGGGGCAGGGCCTGACAGGCTCCATAAAGGACTGATACCACTGCTGCTGGGCAGAGAGGGCTGTTTTTTGTTTTGGTTTTAATTGCTTTTATTTTTTTATCAATGTCATTTAAAATTGTGATTGATATTAATGCTGTATTCTTAGTTTTAGATTTTATGATTTTTGTGGAGATTGTTTTCCATTTGGTTGTGTACTTTTGATGTATTTTATTTATTGTTTGACTTTTGTTATGTTGGTAATTATGCAAATCTTGTCATGTTGTAAACCGCCTTGAGCATTGTTTTAACTATGGAAAGGCAGCATACAAATAAAATGATGATGATAATGAAACATATAGTGCAGATCCAACCCCAGCTGAATACCATCTGCAGTTAACTCCCCTCCCCCATAATTTGCTGTCATTGTTGTCATTGCCCTGCAGATTTTCCCAGCGGTTCATAAACCTGTTTATAACACTTACTTACTGTCACAGCATGACTAATCGAGATTTATACACTGGTCTCTACACACTCTCTCCAGTCTTTATTTGTAAAATAATAGTCCATGTGGCTTAAAGCATACATTCCTTGTCCCCTAAAATAGATCCCATTGTTGGCCATTTCCAGTTTAGTTGCGCTGCAGAAAGCTTGCTGGGGAGACCACGCATTACAAGGAACTCAAAAATAACTTTAACACAGTTTTAATAACAAAAACTCCTTTTACACTAAATATATCAACAAGCATGACCCAACCACCAACCCATCCCCCAGGGTACTGAGAGAGCTAGGTGCTGCTCTTTATATACTATACCCAACTGCTGACACAGCTTAATTAACACAACTTAGCAGCACCTGCTATACTGTTTCACAGCTGTAAAACTGGGTCTCGTTATTTGCTCCAGCCCTTAAAGACATACACATCTTGTGGAACAATAATGAACCTTCAAATTTAAAGAGACAATTCAACATTTGTTATGTATTGAAGTTCTCACCCTGGCCACCAGGAGTATCATGTATATAGTTTTTACTCAGGTCCACGTCAGTTACTTTAGGCGGTAAACTCTGGGTTGTTGTTGCTACAATGTTGACAGCCGGCTGCCTATAAAAGCAGGCCGGCTGAGCTGTTTGCTGTTCAGTTCTGTTCTAGCTTACAAATAAAGAGCGGCTTTGGAGAAATCGTCTGCTATGTCTACCCACTATTCAACACCATTTTAAAAGGGAAAACCCTGTGAGCACAAAACTCTGCATGCATGTCTGAGTTCCTGGCCACTATGTACAGGACTTCTGCAAATCCAAAATTCAATTATGGTGGCAAGACTACGTTGCTTTTTATGCATTTCCCCCTTTTTCTTTTTGTATTGCTTAATATCAAAAATTTAAGTGTGCAAAAACTGCTGACAACATGCAAAGAATAAGAACAATTAGAATTCACCATAGAAACAGAAGCTACCTTAAAATGCCTTCTGAAATAGGGAAGTCAGGCCAAGCACCTGAAATTCAGCCGGGAGAGAGTTCCATTGTCTGGAGAAAAAAAATCCACAAGATTGGGCCTTCAATACTGAATGCACTTTAATGAGTGGGGTATGATATGTTAAATCTCAATGTTATTAATGCTAATTGCTAATATGTGTAGATGAGCATGCTAGGCTTCTGTACTTCCTAAGTGAAATAATTTAATGACTGATTCTTAGCGGCTTTTAATTATGGCTCTTGTGGATGAGCATTTATAGCAATAGTTCCTTCCTTCCTTCCTTCTCTCTACCCACTGCTTTATATCATTCATCACTTTTACGAGTGAACCGATTCCTTTGCTACCACCCCACCCCCGGCCTTTACATTTCTTTCCACAGCATGGTAATAATTAGAAAACATTCCTACAGCAACTCCCCAAGGTTCTGCATTCTCCATCCTCTGCCCCAATTAAAGGAAGTTGAACACAAAGATAGACCAGCTGGTTGAAGTCATTTCTTCCCTAGTCACAGGCATTGACAGTCACCAAATGTTTCTCTTAAAAGATGTACATTTTTTTTGCTCTAGAATTCCTTGATTTGTAATGTGTGGAAGACGTGAAACACACTTCAAGTCCCCCTTTGTTCTTCCTTTTACAAAACGTAAACTAGAATGCTTTAGGTATTTACTATTCATGTAATTTTATAGAGGCACAATGCATCGACAGTCATCCATTTTACTATAGCTCAGTTGGTTAGAGCGTGGCGCTGATAACACCAAGTCTGCAGGTTCAATCCCCATATGGGACAGCTGCATATTCTGGTTGGACGAGATTCTCCTCAGGGTCCCTTCCAAATCTACAATTCTATGTTTCTATGATTCTATTATTCTGCCTTGGATTGCATTAATGAAACTGATGCGTTAGATCTAGAAGTGGGGATTCTATAATTTGTTATTTTATTTTTTAAGGAGCCGTCGGTGGCAAACATCAAAATATTAAAACAGAGCTTGGAAAAAAAAAATTAAGGAAACAATTACAAATGATCTAAAAATATTTCTGTGATAACAAAGCAAGACAGAGGCATCTTCAGGAAAGTTTTCTCTGGTAACTGTCTCATGCTCCACACAAGTATTGGTAATATAAAATGTTTATTAAATAGGGTTATATTCAGCTTGCTGGCAGGGCTCTAAAACACAGACCTGAAGCAGAATTTCTCATCGTCCAAGGGAAGAGAAGTGGATATCTTTGGAGGCAGAAGTACTTAGTGGAGCACCTGTGGTTAACCCATTCTTCCAGAATGCTATACTCAAATTACCTTCAGACTAGGAAAGTGCACTTTAAATTACAGGTGGTGCTCAGCAACGTGCCTAAAATGACTCTATCTGTTGCTTCTTCATTGCCTAGGCCTCATTTCTCAGTAATTTTCCTCCTGGGGTAAAAAAACAACAAAAAAAGGTTCCTGTTCCTCACCTGGTTCTTTCTCTATCTCTATATAGGATATTCCTTCAGAAGAACAGTCTACTAATAGCCACTGAGTGTAAAGCCACAGACATAAGCCCTTTTTTCCATCTTTGCCACAGGAAGAGTGAAATTAAACAACTGCTGCCTTAAGTTTAAAGTAATTTATTCCATATTGTATCGTGACTGCTAAAAGGAAGAGGCAGAACGCAAATTGAACTACGACGTGAAGTTCAATTATTTCAATTACCACCTCCTCCTTAAACAAAGTTTCCCTTCCTTCTAAGCCATCAGCAATTTAACAGTCATTTTTTCTTAAAATAGCATTAATTATAATACTTTCAGCTGAACTGAGAAAAGAATGCACGTATGAATTAAATAATTACATTCATGCATCACAAATTTACCTTTGTAATTTTAGAAATTAGTTATCTTATATAATTGTATAACTAATAACCCTAAACAAATAGCTTATTGTTGGAATGCAATTTGTTCCTGCCCCCATTCTAAAGCAGGGGTGAAGAAACTTATCCTAGCCTGAGAGCCGTATTATCTCATAATTAACATTCCAGGGGCCACATTGGCAGTGCTGGGTGGGATCAGATGCACAGAGTGAGAAGAGCCACCACTCACATCCACCCACACAAACCATTCATATTCACAACTATCTTGGCTGCGAGTCCTGGAAGACCTACTCCCTGCCTTGCAGGCCTTTTCCCACCTGGCCTGGGAGAGCGTAGCCCTGACTGACTCCAGCTACAAAATTGTTTAGGTGTGCTGGTGATATTATTCTTTTGTGTCTTTATTTTTAGATCTTCTTATGATTTAATGTGGCCATTGTTTGATTTGATTGCATACATTTTGATTTGTTTTATTTATTGTTTATGACCATTCTGTTATATTTGTAATTGTGTGATTTTGTTTCATGTTGTAAGCCACTTTGTAAGTTGTAAGTTTTAACTATGGAAAGGTGGCGTACATTAAAATGCTGTATGATAAACATGGGCACCCAAATTCCACATGGCTTGGATCTCCCTGATGCTCCCTTCATTTCTTCATAGCATCAGTCTGTTGATAAGTCTGCCCACCCAAGTTGAATCAAGCTGTGTTTATTTATTTTTTAATTTATGGGGGCCCAATATGCAGCCATCCTGATCTGATGCTCAAAGTCTCATTTCAAACTCATTCTGTCCTCCCTCTGTCACTGGAAGCAGAAAAGCAGTATATATTATATGGTTGTGGGGCTTAGAAGGGGAAATATATAATCTAATTTCTCAGATGAGAATTTTGTGTGAAAAATGCACCCAACCCTACAATATTTGCTGAAATTTCTTCACCCCGACCCAAATTCACTCCCTGAAAATACAGTGGTACCTCGGGTTAAGAACTTAATTCGCTCTGGAGGTCCGTTCTTAACCTGAAACTGTTCTTAACCTGAAGCACCACTTTAGCTAATGGGTGCTGCCGTGCCACCGGAGCCCAATTTCTGTTCTCATCCTGAGGTAAAGTTCTTAACCTGAGGTACCATTTCTGGGTTAGCGGAGTCTGTAACCTAAAGCAGCTGTAACCTGAAGCGTATGTAACCCAAGGTACCACTGTAGATGAGAAATAAGGAGACTATTTTTGCCCAGTCTTAAAATTCCCTGGCGTCTCTAGGCAGGACTTGAAGCTCCCCCTCTATGAAACCCTGGTGAGCCACTGTCAGCCAGTATGAATACTGAGCTAGGCAGACCAACAGGTCTGACTTGTTACAAGGCTGCTTTCCATGTTGCTGAATTGAGATTAGCACAGAATTCTCCCAATTTCCGGGCTTTTTAGTTTGAAGCTTAGTATTTTTTCATGGAGCTTTTATCTACTTCAAGAGTTCCATAATGTTCAGGAATTTGCTGCCGTGCTAATCCGTATTGTATGTCATGGTTACTGGCAGCTCTTTAAAATGCCAACCAGCTTCAGTCACCACCTCTTCTCCCCCCCCTTTTTTAACCTCACATGTCCATGAACAATCTGGTTTTTATTTATGCCCCTGCTTCATTGTGCTGGTGACACTTCTGCAGTTAGGTGTCCTTGTGAGAGCTTTCTATTAACTTTACTTTTCACAGGCGAGTGAACTTTAAAGCCTTTAGGCCTCCCAACCAAGTATCTGCTGTGCAGGATCAGGGATATTTGTGACGTTAGTTTAGCTTTTTGGTTCCTTCTGATATGCTTTTTTATCTTTCAAATATGCTGGTAAGTGCTTTGATCCTGAGAGCTACGATGGGTTATAAAGCGGCTAACTAGATAGATAAATAAATGGAGAGCATGGTCTGACATCACTACCTTTGGCAGAGGCAGCAGTGGAGTGCTTAAGGTGTGGAAAGAAAGTGGAACAAAAATTTCCCTCTTTGCTCATAAGAGAACACAGGGCCATCCACTGAACTGGCAGAAGGTACAAGGCAGACAAAGAAAAGCACTTCATCTTGTAGTGCAGCGGTGGCCAATGTGGTGGTACTCTTTGGATGCTGTAGAACCTCGACTCTTATCAGCCCTAGTCAGCATAGCCAGCAGTCCAGGATGATAGGACTGGTAGTTGCAACATCTGGAGGGGGGGGACACATTGGAAGTGGCATAGCGTGGCTTGCCAGTGCCTGGAGTGTGTGTGAAAAGGAGGAAAATGGATGGAGCATGCATGTGCATTCAACTGCCTAATGGCATCTGCATCACTCAGGAGATCAAAGCTGCAGAGATAAGAAGAGACCTGTTGTCTGGAGACGTCATTTCCTGGTTTGCATGGAGAAACCGTTTTGAATGGAGCCCAGCGACGGAAGGACACAGCTGTATTGAGGTAGCAAAAGGTGTTGAAATTTTGCACCCCCTAACAATTTTGCACCCGGGGCAACTGCCCCTTTGCCCCCCCCCATGCTATGCCACTGCACACTGGCTACATGGAACGTTCTTTGCATACATTTGCGCCTGGTTTTCTTCTAGGCAGCATACAATGCAGGTGCCAGTTAGTCACCCATCAAGGCACTTACCAGAGTCAGACTTGCTTAGCTTCTTCAAGGTAGTCGCCTCAAGTGCCTTAAGGCCCTGACCTGGAAGTCCCTTACGGGGCTGTGGGAAAGGCGAGTTCCATGCTAGGGACCATTAGGAAAGAAATTGGAAATAAAACTGCCAGTATCGTGCCATTATACAAATCTGTGGCGCGATTGCCCCTGTGCCCCCCATGCTATGCCACTGCACATTGGCTACATGGAACGTTGTTTGTTTGCATACATTTCCAATATCGTGTGCCTCTGGTCGCCTCGCCTCCAAAGCAGTGTTTAGAACTCGCATAGCAATGGGCGTATTCTGCGACAGAGAATTTGATCACTGTGAGCATTTTCTGTACACAGCGCCGAACATTTCAATTGCCACTGCTGGCGCGCGTGTAGACATTCCTCCCCGCCAGCCCTACGTGAAAGAGATCGCTGGAGCTGAAGCGGGACTTCAAAGAGAGCTTTGCAGATCCGGCTGTAAGGAGAGGGTGGGGTGGGATGGGGAAGAGCTGTGAGGCTGCAGAACAGCCCCCCCCCCGCCAGACCCTAAGCCGTTGTGGATGCTGCCGAGATGCCGTTTGGGGCTGCAAATGCGCGGCTGCTTGTAGCTCCAAATAACCCTCTCCTTCCACAAGGCAGAAGCAGGAGCGATCCTGCTGCCGCTTTCTTCTCCTGCTCCTCCTATTCTGCCTCCTCCCTCTACGTGGCCGGACGGGAAAGCGAAGCATCGCCCCTCTCACCCCAGCGAAGGGGAAGAAGAACGTGAGGCTTCGCCTGAACAGAGGGAGGGAGAAGATGGTGGCAGCAGGATCGTTGCTGCTGCTGCTGCTGCTGCCTTGGGAATCGAGAGGGTCTCGGGATGGTTTCGCAGCCACGCTGCCGCTGAAGTGCTGAAGCTGTTTTAAGAAGTTGGAGCAGCAGCACTTTGCAGCCCCGAGCATCCTGCTGCCCCCTTCCGCTGCCAAGAGCAGCCCTAGACGTGCCCCTTTCGGTGCTGCACCAGTCGGGCGACACAAAATGCAACTAGATATTGTGTTTCAGCGCCCCACAACAACCCAGGTTTCGAGAGCTATGTAGCGCCTTGCTTTTCTTCCCTGGTTTCGAACACTGCTCCAAAGAGAGATTGATCAAGGGCTAGGGACAGCTTCTCTAAGAGGAAAGGTTGCAGCGTTGAGGGTAATTCAAGGACGGAGCAAAATACTTCTTCGCACAGCTCACGCTTCAACTACCGTGGAATCTGCTCCACGCACAAATAGTGATGGCCACCAACTTGATCAGACACATTCATAGACGATGAGGCCACCCATGGTTATGAGCCACAATGGAGATATGCTCTACTGCCACTGTCAGGGGGAGGGAATGCTTCTGAATTTGAGTTGCTGGAAACTGCAGGAGGCTAGAGTGCTGTGGAACTCAGGTCCTGGTACCTCGGGTTACATACGCTTCAGGTTACAGACTCCGCTAACCAAGAAATAGTACCTCGGGTTAAGAACTTTGCTTCAGGATGAGAACAGAAATTGCGCGGTGGCGGCGGGGCAGCAGCGGGAGGCCCCATTAGCTAAAGTAGTACTTCAGGTTAAGAAGAGTTTCAGGTTAAGAATGGACCTCCAGAACGAATTAAGTTCTTAACCCGAGGTACCACTGTATTGGATTTCCTGTAGGCATCTGGTTGGCCACTTTGCAATCCCAGCTTGCACACACACAGACCACTCCCATAGCATCTTCCTCCTCCCATACATTGCAATTACAGTGTGCCTTGTTCACTTCCCACCCAATTATGAAGCCAAAATCCCCTCCCTTTCTGCAGCACCTTTCAGACCTTCATCTTCAGCTGCACCCAAATCCCATGCCTCTTAGAGACTCATTTCCCCCTTCTCTTCCTTCCCTTTTCCAACTCTTCATTGCACACCCACCCACCCCAGTTTCCATGCCTTCCCCTATTCTGTAGCCCCTCTCCACCCCCCTGCGAAGATATGTCATTGTAACTTTAATGTTAATAGACTCTTGAGAGCAAGCCTGTCAGGTACCTTGTTCAGTTAGAGAAGGTTTAGTTCAGTTGACGGATGTTCAACATATATGGGTGTTTCTTGACAAGAAAATGCCTGTTCTAAATTACAACATTGAAGCTGGAGCTTCATGTTGAAGATGACATACGGTACCAGGAGTGAAATACATTGTGTGAAGAAGGGCCTCTCCTGTTAGTTAAACACTTGGAAAAGGTTGCCCGCTCCTGCCTTAAAAGGTCGTGACAGGCAGATGCAGATGTTCCTAAGGAAACCACAGGATTAATATGCTGTAATTAGTGACAATTTAGAGCTTCGCTATTAACTATTATTCTGTTTAAATTTGAATTGTAGCAATTTCCTCCTACACACAGAAATGTGAAAATTTTCCTTCCTGTTGTGTTCCATGCTTTAATTAAACGTAGCTTCTAAAATACTGTTTTGCTTTTATTCATTAGGATGGGAGGATTAATCCTTTCATAGGTGACTGTGCTGTGCTATCATGGTTTTCCCTGAAGGCTACAGTATGCATATCCTCATCAGTCCTTCTCTGGGTTTTTAAAAAAAATATTCTCACAAAATTCTCTGATTTTTAGGGAACTCCATTCCGACTGAAGTCAGACAGGCTCCCTCCCAGATGAACTGAATTCCAGTTTCATAATTTTAACAGATTTGTCTCTTTATTGTATTGAGTTGCTTGTATACCACTTAGAGACAATTGTAATTAATTGTCAAAATTATTAAATTAATAGATTCTTCCAGGCAGAACCAGGACAATGTGGGACTTTGGGGCACAGCCTTTCCCATTATGCTTTGCATTTTTTGGGTCCCCCCCCCACTGCTGTATTCATTTTTATGCATACTTTATCCTAGAATATGTATTTTGTACATGGTATTTTTGTACACAGAAAACTATTATCCTAAATTTCTGCTGCCTTGCAGCTATACTCATTTGTGAGAAAGGCTTCAGGAGTAAACCCCAAGGAAAAAGCTGTACCTGCTGCCTTGTGGGACATCTTCAGGAGAAGAAAAGGCTAAGGAGTAAATCTGACACAAATCTGGAATTGGATGTACCATGTATGCCTCCTTCCAGCAACTCCTATAGCCAAGCTGGTGTCAGATGTATTGCTCAGATTTCCTTTGGACCACATCAATGAGGCCAAGAGGAGGGTCTTGTCGTCTGGGCAGCCCAGAACCTCCATAAACACTGCCCAGGTCTGCATCCCAGCAAGGTCACTTCAGTGCTGCTTATGTAGCAGTTTGACTTCACCCCCAGAGGCGCACTTCATTGTCTCTTGAGACAGATGAATGCCAACAACATGGCCTACTTGGCAGGTGAGCTGCATTGCAAAATTCAGAGAAGAGCAGATTTCAAAGGATGACTGTGTTGGAAATTGTAACTCCTCTAAGGTTGTCTTTCAATGTGGACTGAATCAAAATTCCACCCCATCCCTAGTTGCAAGCACAGCGACTTTAACAGTAGCGTTTCCCATAGCAAACATTTAAACTGTGAAGAATAGATTCACGTCCCAAACACCTTTGTACTAACTACCACAGCAGGGAATGGCAGCTTGATTCAGTCTCCAGGGCATGTGCATGTGATGTGAAAGAACATGCATCTTTCCTTCAAACCTATGTTTACTATGGAGAACAATGGTTTTACTGCAGAAACACAATCTTTGCACATAGTGAAGCAGTCCCGAATCAGCTTTTCTTGACTGAGATGAAGGACTTTTGCTGGTTTTGTCTTTTGTACAGTGGCGTTTGAATCAATATCTATCACCTATCTATCTATCTATCTATCTATCTATCTATCTATCTATCTATCTATCATCTATCATTTATCTATCTATCTATCATCTTGTCCAGGCAGTGCACAAAAATAAAAATGTAGAAGACAAAATCTAAAATATCCAATAACCAATTTTGGCCGTTATTAGATCGGGTTGATGTATATATACCGTACATAATAAAAGTGGCATTAAGTCCACATAAAAACTGCTTTGTTACTGTTGATTCAAGCAGGTCGTGGTGTGATCTTTACCGTTTTAATGTCTGCAAAGTGAAGAGCCAGATGCTAGCCTTCATTTCACTACCATATGTGTATTTTGTCTGTCTCTCAAGCAGAAATTCACAAGTCCCCAGGGGAACTGTGTCATGCTGTTGAGTGGTTGATCGGGATTGTCACTATATGGGAAGTAACAGCAACACCTCACCCCCCTCCGCCCCCCCCATTTGCACTATGTACTCAAAACAGTATTATACTACTTTAAACAGTCACTGCTTCCTTCAAAGAATTTTCAGAGTTCCGTGGAAAGGGAGGGTTGACTCTTAAATCACTGAGAGTTGTAGCTCTGCGAGGGAAATAAGGGTGCTGAGACCCCTTAACAAACGACAGTTCCCAGGATTCTTTGGGGGAATGCATGACTGTTTGAAGTGGTATGCTATAGCAATGCTGTAAATGTACAGTGCAAATTGGCCATTCATCTCTGCTGAAAACATTGTGTAGTTTTAGTGAAAACTTTGGAGTGCATCTTGCCTTGACCTGGCATACCTCAGAATAGATGGATTCCTCAGAATATATGGATTCATGGCTGAAGGTGAAATATCAAAGCACAGTAGGTGGCCTATATCAGGCCCTCCTCTGAAATGCTTTAAAATGCTGAACTCATCTACATTTTGCACAAACACCAAGGCAGTTAAAAGACCGGCTATGAACTGATTGACTTGTACCCTCTGGCAAACTGCTATGTCTATATAAGTTCTTGTTCATGGCTGGAAAAAAACACGTTCTGGCACTTAGCTCCATCTCAGAATCTATTGAACCTGATCATATTTACAAAGCACTTGGTTTTTGGAATGTAAATTATGTTAATAGTGGTCCTACATATTGTTGTCCAATTCACATTTTTGCACATACGATGACATTAAGAGTGTGGCACATAGTAACTTAAAAGCTATTTTGCAGGTGGAGTTTATCACTTGGCTCTTATTTATACCACACATTTTGCTGGAAGATGTTCTTCCTTGTTGTAGCTCCTTGCCCTTTTGTTGGGTCCCCTATATTTCAAACATTTTCAGAGCAAGCACATTCAGACACTTCTTCTGTACCTGATATCACCCACATGGTTTTTAGGTTTGAAAAACCGCAGCTCCTCCGTTACCCTGTCACACAGTTTTATTTCTTTGCTCTTTCCCCCCTCATTTTTCAAGGTCTATTTTTTCCTTTATGCACATCTTCTCTGACAATTTTCCTTTCTTGCAGTTATAATTTCTTCTAAATCTTCCTGCTAAATAACTTCAGCTCTTCATCTAGCAACTTTCCTTTGTTCTGTGCGTGACTTTGACTTATGCTACGCTCAACCCTTTTCACTTTATGTCAGCTTTCCAATTATCCACTATGCTTTTTTTATATGATTTTTCGTTTCCATTATCTCAGTACCTAGTTTCTGGTATCTATCTATATTTTCTTGCCCTTCCTCCACCTTTTCTTCTTAGCTGATACTTATACTTTTATATCTCAGCAAACATAAATATCTACATTTTTTTCTTATCTCTAGTCTCACACTAGTTCCTGTTCCTGACAATACTTTAGAATTTTCCTTCACCCCATCTTCAAATGCTCCCTGATTGGCTATTCCCTATTCAGGGCAACCTGTCAAGCTATTGGCTTCAAACATAAACAGTAGCACTGAAATGTCAATCAAAATACATACATGTATGCACATATCATTTTATCTGTAGGCTGCATTTGCATAGTTAAAACCATATTCACGGCGTCTTAAAACATGAAAAAATACATAATTACATCATAGCTGTCAAGTGTCCCTTATCTGAAGGGACAGTCCCTTATTCCAGCACCATGTCCCGCTGCTGTCCCTTATTGATGGATGTCCCTTAAATGTCCCTTAAATGATGTCCCTTAAATTTCAAAGGAA